TTAGTAGAGCTCTCGTAAAAAGGTTTATACAGGGCATTTCAGAGCTCTATGAGATATTTGGTACAAAATCAAAATCTATCTAATTCTATCGTGAATTTTACGAACTATAGCTATCTCTGAACCGGGTTTCTCCAAATTTTACGTATTAGCTTCTAGACTGGTGATTTGGGCTGATATTGACCATTTGGTGGTCAATTAACCCGAAATCGGATGAAGATATATATGGGAGCTATATCCAAATCTGAACCGATTTCGATAAAAATTTAAAACAGCTATTCCTGTGCTCCATCTAATACCTGGTACCAAATATCACGGTTGTGGAGTGAATATTACGAATGTATGGGACTAAAGCTCTAAATCGGATGAAACATATATATGGTTGCTATATCTATATCTGAACCGATTTTCACTAAATTTGATATACTTGCTTCTAGGCTGAATTTGGTCCGATGTACTAAAATTCAGTTCATTTGGACTTATATCGGCCATTTGGTGCACAATTAACCCGAAATCGGATGAAGATATATATGGGAGCTATATCCAAATCTGAACCGATTTCGATAAAATTACAAACAGCTATTTCTGGGCTGTATCTTATATCTGGTACCAAATATCATTCTTGTGGAGTGCATATTACAAATGTGAGAGGCTTAAACACCAAATCGGATGAAAGGAGCTATAGCTAAAAAGGAGCTATAGCTATATCTGAACCGATTTTCTCCAAATTTGATATACTTGCTTCTAGGCCGAACTCGGTTGGGTGTGCCAAAATTCAGGTAATTTGGACTGATAGTGGATATTTGGTGCACATTTAACCCGAAATCGGATGAAGATATATATGGGAGCTATAGCTGTTTCTGAACCGATTTTCTCCAAAGTTGTTGTATTTGCTTTAAGGCTAATCTCGGTCACATGTGCCAAAATTCGGGCCATTTGGGCTGATATTGGCCATTTGGTGGTCAATTAACCCGAAATCGGATGAAGATATGTATGGGAGCTATATCCAAATCTGAACCGATTTCGATAAAATTTAAAACAGCTATTTCTGTGCTCCATCTAATACCTGGTACCAAATATCACGGTTGTGGAGTGCATAGTAGGAATGTGAGGGACTTAAAGATCAAATCGGATGAAAGATATATATGGGAGCTATAGCTATATCTGAACCGATTTTCTCCAAATTTGATATACTTGCTTCTAGGCCGGACTCGGTTGGGTGTGCCAAAATTCAGGTAATTTGGACTGATAGTGGATATTTGGTGCACATTTAACCCGAAATCGGATGAAGATATATATGGGAGCTATATCTAAATTTGATTCGATTCTTACCAATTTCAATAGGGTTCGTCCTTGGGCCAAAAAAATATTGTTTGGAAAATTTCATCTCAATCGGATAATAAATGCGACCTGCATTTTGTTCACAAGAATACATGGACAGACGGACGGACGGATAGACGGACTGACATGCATAAATCGACTCAGAAAGTGATTCTATGAAGGTTCTCAAAAGTAACTATGGGTCTATCTCGTTTCCTTCTCCATGTTACAAACAAATGCACAAAGACATAATACCCTTACCACTATGTGGTGTAGGGTATAATAATTTTTCCCAACTGGAATTTGAATATGAAATTTTGGATCCACTCCCCCTGGACCTTCCCAAATTTTTGAAACATTATGAATAATTATAACTCTTATACATGCGAAAAAAATCAGCGATTCACTCCAAAAATCTGATATATGTTAACCCACTCTTTCTGGTAACGTCCCAAAAAAGATGAGCATTATTCAAACCTGCCTCCTCCAATGATTATATCAGACTAAGGTCATAAGTGAAATGGACAATATTGTTCTACTTCATCGGTAGCTTTTTTTTATAGAGGGTCAACATTTTGAATAATAGTAAAACATGTCAAAATATATTTTAATAGACGGATAAAGGCTGGGGGTATCAATGTGTCGTCAAAACGGACTGCCACTCCTTAACTTGTTTCTAATAAATTTTGACTTGCGTTATGATTATCCAAACTCTTGACTCTTTATGGAGTAGGTTCCAAAGGGTCATCTAACCTAAGTCTGATATAAATGTACCATATTTGGGCTATATCGACTACATCATTCACCTTTATATGAGAAATGTTATATTTTTTGGGGAGTTACGGAATGTGCGAGAAGTATCAGATATAATGGACCGAAGTATTACACTTCCATCTAATACTGAAAAAAAAAATATTGGGATGGCCATCTAACATATATGTACAAGTTTATGCGAATAATTGATGAACATTTAAAACTTTGTGGGTGATCAGATCTCAGATCTCAAGTTACCAAATTTTTAAAAGAATCGCTGACTAGTTTTGGTATTTATTAAAGATATAAATATTGAAAATTGTGTACCTTTGTGGGGGAGATACCAAGTGGGCAGATATCTATTATCCTCCAACCAGATCTTGTGTTAATGTAAATACTGAGACGTGTGAAATTTGAAGGGAACCGGATGCTTTGCACGCATTTATAAGCTTTTTGATTATTCAAAACTGTTATACCTTCAGTCATATGGCTCGAGAGGGTATACCATATCATTTGATGCAGTCAGAACATGCCTCATCGAAATATCGATTTTAGACCCTAGGTTTCTTTGGACCAAATACGTTTCAGAACATTTGGAGTCGATCTAGCGATGTCCGTCCATCCGACCGTCTGGCTTTCTGTCTGCCTGGCTGGCTGGTGCACACGATAACTCTCGAACGGAGTATTAGATTTGGTTCAAACTTGCTACATCGTAATATTATAATCAAACTTAGATCGAGCTCGGAGTTGGGTAATATCGTTCCAATCCTTCTGGTACTCCCTCTACAAAAGGTAGAAATTTTCAAAACAAAAAACAAAAAAAAAAAAAAAAAAAAAAAAACTGCACATAATCCGAACTAAGCCTAATATTTGCATCAGTGCTAGTTTGGTTGCTAAAATGGACAATATCGGTCCATCTCATCAAGTACCTACCACATAAAGGGTCAAAATTTTGAATAATTATAACTTTTATAAAATGTGACTCTTACGTCCGATTATCTTCAAATTACACACATCACAATATTATTATCAACCCAAGTTCTTGTGTGACGATGGAATATATCGGTCCACTCCTTCAGGTACCTTCCCCACAAAGGGTAACGATTTTGAAAAATTATAACTCTTATAAAATGTGATCTAAGAGCCTGATTGTCTTCAAATTTCACACATCCCAATATTTTTATTAACCCAAGGTCTAGAGTTTAAATGAAATATATCGGTTCACTCATTCTGGTACCTACCCCACAAAAGGTCGAAATTTTCAAAAAAAAAAAAAAAAAAATATTTTACTGCACATAAAGAGAAAGGATAATCCGATTTTGCTCCATGTTAGCAAATCCTAATATTTGCATTAGTGCTAGGTCAGGTGTGAAAATGGACAATATCGGCCCACTCCACCAAGCACAAAGGGTCTACATTTTTAATAATTATAACTCTTATGCACTATGATGTAAGAGTCCAATTGTCTTCAAATTACACAGTTCACAAGCTCTGGTGTGAAAATGGGTTATATAGGTCTACTCCTTCTGATACATCCCCAAGGGTCAAAACTTTTAATATCCATGAAGCTCATAGAAAGCGAAATTCAGATCCAATTCCATTCAGATTTGGTATATCTCAATATTTCCATCAACACAAGATCTGTTATAAATATTCTGGAGATCGGACTATTTCTTCTGGTACCTCCCCCACAAGGGGTCAAAGTTCTAAATAACCAAAACGATTAAAAAGTCCGTAATAAGCATCCGGTTATTTTCTTATTTTACACATTATTTCTACTAACATAAGATCTACTGTGAAGATGGGATATATCGGTTCACACCATCTGGTATCTCCTCCACAAAGGGTTAAAAATTTGAATATCTATGTAGCTCATAAAACGCAAAATTAACATCCGATTCCATTCAGACTTGGCACATCTTAATATTTCCATCAGCATAATATCTGTTAGAAAGATGGTGGAAATTGGACCAATTCTTCTGGTACGCTGAAAGAGCGAAATAAGCATCCGACTCTTTTCAAAATTTCACACTTACAAACATTTCTTCCCCTTCTGGTACCTCACCCACAAAGGGTCACAAATTTCAATTCTTTTATCTGTCAGAAACAAGTCAGCGATTCTTTACAACTTGTCATATCTAAATATTTCTCTCAACCAGAGACCTGAGATGAATATGTAACTTATGATTTCTGTCTGTGCAGGTTCATCTCTTCTTACATCACCCTTGTAACGGTACCTCCCCATATTCGGTATTTTGATGATTTTAGCGACTTTATTTACCAGAATTGCTTCAAATTCGGTATTTGAAATTCGTAATGAATACTACAGCCTATGACAGAAGATTGTTTGTGCAGGTCCACGTTTTGGTAAGGTCCCCATATTCAGTATTTTGATGATGCAGGTCCACGTCGCACTATGTCGCGAGTTCATACAAACGGCGGCCAAAAATAGAAAGAGTTGTCGTAGGTGGATGAAATTTTGTACAGATGCTTATTATTGGGCTAAAAAGCAAATTACAAAAATTTGGATAGATTGGACCAAAATTCGGTATACCTCCCATATATAGGGTCTTCCAAATTTCACTCTTTTAGCCTATAAAATCGTTAATATTCAACCAAATTTGATGAAAATTGGCATGTAACTTCTAATTGGGCCTATAAAACAGTTGACAAAAAATTGGATTGATCGGACCATGATTTGGTATACCTCCCATACAATGGGGCTTGAAAATTTCGATTTGTTGGCCTATGAAATCGTATGTATTCAACCATATTAAATGAATATTTGCAGTTTACTTCTTATTTAGTGAAATATTAAAATTGTCTGTAGGTTTACGTTTCAGAGTATTTTATATTACAAAACCCTCTTTTCAATAAAACACGTTTTATTCGTATTTAATTTTTATTAATAACATAAGCTTTGAAATACACTATTCACTACATACCTCACTGCAATCATCAGATTCATCTTCTGAACATATTTCCGGAATATTTAAGTTATTTTCTTCACAAATATATGATTTAATGTCTTCCATGTTATAATTTCGGGCCAATATATTATGACTGTTCAAGGATATTACAGGGTCCGATTGTAGTATCAAATACTGAATTAAATCCCTATTTGACTCGACTCTACCACATTTTCGGGTGTGTTTCAAACGGTTGCTCCTAATTATTTTATGGCAAATTTGTAGTTTAGTTAGAATGCTCTTCGCGGTATTATCCAAAAGTCTTTGTAGAGGTACATTCATTGATGTTTCCGTCACTTCTATATTTTCTGGAATCAATTTTTTCTTAGCTTCTGCTATAGCATAATACGATGGGAAACAATTTTTATGTATAGCATTTACAGCATTTCTCATCATGTTATACTGTCTAACTGATAAATCCATATCCACGTAGAGCGCCAATGCTTTTTCCACTGAAATAATGTCCATTTCCTTTACATTCGAAAATCTTTTTGCAGCTGTTGTTATGATGTCCGCCGAAGTAGATGCAACAAGTTCACCTACACGTCGCCTTTTTGTTCTACATGAACTTTCCTCAAAGATAATGCGTGGTCGATCTCTTGATGTAGACTTATCAGGTTCCTAAATATTTAAAAGTTTTTAAATAATTGGTTTAATAAAAATAATCTTCAAATGTACCGAATCAAATTTAAACGTATCCATAAGAAACCAATCTTTTAAGACCATTTCTACTTTATCCCTCTTTCGATAGTATTTTTTCCACGTAGAAGACAATTTGTAGCAAATATTTTTAACCTTTATGTGTTCTTCGCCCGTCATTTTCCTTCCAATTCGATCCTCAATAAATTCTTTAAGTTTTGCCAGAACATATGACATACTTTGATCCTTTACTTCTAACCATTCCAAAAATATGTCACAGTTTTTTAAAGAGGTGGTCACTAAAAAAAGCAAATAACTCTTAGGACCGCAGGTTTCCGCAGCTAATTTTTTTATAGGTTAAAAATACATACTTTTCACAACTAAAATCAACAAAAATGTAGACTAAACTTTTTTAACCTTTTTTTTTCTACTCCACTAATTTCAAGATTTGCTTTACAAAATAGATGAACTAAGTACAACAGGTGTTTGTAACTGTAAACACCATATGATCACTATTTACACCCAAACAAAGGTGAAGCCAAGTTTTTGACATCCCAAGTAACTAAAATAAACACTTTTTTTATAACCGTTACTTTTAATATTCAAATTTTTGAACATATGAAAAAAGTGTCAATTTTCCGAAAAAAATAGAAAAATGCCGATTGCCAAAAACTATCAGATTTGAACCCTCGTACAGGCAAAACTACTTGACGTATCACTACCAAAATTCATATTATTCCTAACTGGAATGTTTTCTATCAATTCTCATCAATAAATTTGTGCTCTTATGTACTTGGTTTTTACCATTTTTGGCCGCGGTCGTGACACTGTGCGTCGTCTTATAGACGATACTATATCGGCTACATCCGGTATTTTTAAGATTTTAACATTGCCAAATTCGTTACAAATGGCCCGGCCAAACTTACTGTTTTTTTTACTTGTTTTTACACTATCTGTCTTTGGAGAATATTTCCTTCACTTCAGAAGCGACCAAAAAAAATATAATTCAAATTTCGACTGGTGACTCAAACATAACATTTCAAACGGTTATCAATTTTTCTCAACTCTTGAGAAAATATAATATCTCTGTGGGCTGAAAAATTCCCCACCCGATGGGATTTTAGTAAATTAATTTTCAGTTCTCCATAATTTCAATTTAAAAGAAATAATGATGACAATTCCATTAAGAATATTATGCCGCAGTCACATATCACATAAGTACAATTCAGGCGAACAAGTTATGATGATTCGTAGGCACGTCGATATGTACTCAAACTCTTCCATTGCCAGGTTGGGGGAAATGTCCACAGTTAAATGCCACAAATATCGTTGGTCAATGTCAATACCGCAAACAACTTCAACGCCAATGCCATCCATCACCGCCACCATCATCAACGCTGCACCAAACATCTTCATCATCGTTGCCGTCGTCGTCGTCGTCGTTACCCAGAAAAACCGCAAGACGTGTGCCCATAAATTTAAGCTGCGCATTTCAATGAAAATTTATAGTTTTAATGAATCTTTTATTTTTAATGATATCGCAGCAATGATGACCAGAACAACAACAGCAACAAAACCGACAACAACAACAACAAGTGCAGCCACAAGTACAAAGTAACAAATAATCATCAATTGGCCATTAATTCTACATTGATATTGGGTGGAGTTCAAAGCGAAGGCGTGCCTCATTTTTGGCAGGTCCAACGAACATCTGTGTTTTCAAGTGAATATTTGTGGGCGGTTATATGTGAAAATAGATTAAGTCCAGTTTTTTATTTTGATATTTGAAGAAGAACTTTTATACCCTCCACCAATCATAGTATGGAGGGTATATTAAGTTCGTCATTCCGTTTGTAACTCATCGAAATAATAAATTTAACCTTAACAATATATATTCTTGATCAGGGTTAAATTCTAAGACAATATAGCCCTGTCCGTCCGTCAGTCCATCCGTCTGTTGTAATCACGCTAGAGTCAAAACGTACAAAAATAGGAAGCTAACATTTTGCACAGATCAGTCTTTTGTCTGCAGTCAGGTCAAGTTCGTAGATGGGCTATATCGGTCCACGATGTCGTATAGCCCACATATAACGGTAGCCCCCGATATTCTTTGATGGTTGTAGCCAATGTTTTCAATGAAATGTTTAGAAAACCCACAAAAAGTGTTCTTTCTGAGTACTTTACAACCTGTCAATATAGGTCCACGATATCGTATATCCCTCATATAACTGTCCCTCTCTATATTCTGTCTGAAAATCCACACAAGAATATCTTTCTTAGCAATATACCCCCTAGAAGCGAAATGTATATATAGGTCCACGATATCGTATAGCCCACATACAACGGTACACAGGTGCGAACTTTTTTGAAATTTGGTATTTGAAGTTCGTTATGGATACTACAGCCTGTGACAGAAAATAGTCTATGCTGGTCTAGGTCTTCGTATGGCCCCGATATAACGGTACATCCAGATATTCGGTATTTTGACGAATTTAACCGGATATTTTTTCAGGTCCACGTCTTCGTATACACCCCAATATAACGGCTATATTCAGAATTTTTAAGATTTTAACAGAATTTTTAACGGATTTTATTTTTTTTTTTTGAAATTTTCCAAATTTGTTCCAAATGGTGGAGGGTATCCAAGTTCGGCACGGCCGAATTTTTTTAGTTTTTATACCCTGAGATTTAGATGGGTCCAGACTAAACATGAACATCGACCCTGATCACAAATTTCAGATTTTAAGCACTATATGTTCACTCAAAGCTAAATTGTACCGAACGTAGTACTATTTAGTATTTTTCGTGTACTTATAATATACATTTCTACCACCACCTCACCTTATTACAAACTTACTACCAACAGGGAAGCCAATACAAAATTTCGAAATTTTAGCTTCATCCGTTCACACCAAACCAAACTGTTCCAGATTTAGTACCATTTAGAACAGTTCCCTCACTTAGTACACATTTGCAGAACCACCATCATATATCAAACATACCTTCCAACCTCAATTCTCATACAAAATTTTAAATTAAAGTTCTAATTTCCAATTTCACTTGGGTGCATCTATCCTGCACGCCATCAATGACTCCCATTCCAAATTTCCGAATCCCTGCTCCATTGGTTCATCACAATTCGCATTTGTACCAAATTGAGTACCATTTAGTGTAGAAAAGTACGAATTTCCATAGCTTCCTACATAACCCAATCCTACACTCCAACAATAATCTTAATTTCAAATTTCCGGATTCCAGCTCCATCGGTTTACCTAAATCCAAATTGTACTAAATTTAGTACCTATTAGTACTTATAGTTACATATTTCAAAAACCAGCCTATATATCCCAATCCTATTCTCAGAGAGTAATCTTATTTCCAATGATCAGGATATAATTTGGATTTGGGTGAACCAATACAGCGGTTCACCCAAATACAAATGATACCAAATTTAGTACATTTTGGTACATGTAAGTACACATTTCCAAAACAACCTATATATCCAATCTTACACTCTGAGAGAAATCTTATTTCCAATTTTCAGGATAGTAACTCTATTGGTTCACCCAAATACAAAATGTACAGGGTTGCCCATATTCGAAGGACCTTTGGGCATTTTGGGCCCATTCCAATCGACGAGGCTTGTCCGCAGGCTACATTCTTTGCGTCAATTGAATTTTGTACGGGAACAAATGCAAATCAATGCGAATAATCCGTTGTAAAGTGGACCGAGCCATGCCCAACTGCTGAGAACGGCGTTTTTGGGATGTTCTTGGGGAACTCTCAACACTGGCTCGTACGGCAGCGATATTCTCGGCTGATCGCCTTGGTCGACTTTTATATGGCCTCTTCGTCTGTCTACATTCCTCAGGCCCAAAAAGCAATAGTAATCCTAATTTCAGAATTCCAACTCTATTGGTTCACCCTAATCGAAATTGTACCAAATGTAGTACTATTTTGTACTTTTCGTGTACATAAATACAAATTTTGAAAACTTCGTCCATATCCCAATCATATACTCCGCCAGTAATGCTAATTTAAAATTTCAGGATTCCAGCTCCGTCCTTTCCTCCAAATTCAAATTGTACTAAAGTTGGTACCGATTAGTACTTTCGTATACACTTCCGAAACTACCATTTTACATCGACAATATTTCTCAACCTTGATTCCGATTCCAAATTTCAAGGTTTTAGCTCTAACCGTTCACATGATACGAAATAGTACCAAATGTAGTACATTTTAGTACTTTTCGTATACTTATGGTGCAAATTTCCCAAAACCCTTCGGTACATCTATCATACACTCCATCAGTGACCCTCATTCCAAATTTAAGAGTAACCAGTAAAGAAAGTCAATTAACTTGAAATCGGATAAAGATATATATGGGAGCTATATCCAAATCGGAACCGATCTCGATAAAATTTGGCAAAGATATTTCTGAGCTGTATTTGATATATTTCCCGGAAAATCGATGTTACGGAGTGCATATTACGGCTGTGGGTAACAAATATAACAAATCGGATGAAGAGTATATATGGGAGCTATAGCTATATCTGAACCGATCTTCACCAAATTTGACATACTAGCTTCTAGACCCAATTCGGTCGTAAGTGCCAAATTCCATCCCATTTGGATAAATATTAGACGTTTGGTGCACAATAAAAAGTAAATCGGACGAAGTTATATATGGGAGCTATATCCACACCTGAACCGATCTCGATAAATTTTAGCAAATGTATTTCTTAGTTGTATTTGATATACTTCCCCAAATATAGTTGTTACAGAGTGCATATTACGGCTGCGGATGACAAAAATAACAAATCGGATAAACAATATATATGGGAGCTATAGCTGTATCTGAACCGATTCGATCAAATTTGGCATACTTATTTTCAGGCCTAATCTGGTTATATGTGCAAAATTCCATACTATTCGGGCTGATATTTCAAGTTTGGTGCGCAATATAAGGCAAATCGGACGAACATATATATGGGAGCTATATCTAAATTTTTACCGATTATCTCCAATTTCAATATTGTTCGTCCTTGGGCCAAACAAATGATTTATTCAAAATTTCATCTGGATAGGGCAATAAATGCGATCTGTACTTTGTTTACAAAAATACATGGACAGACGGACGGACGGACGGACAGACGGACGGACGGACATGCATAAATCGACTCAGAATGTGATTCTATGGGTCTATCTCGTTTCCTTTTGCCTGTTACAAACAAATGCACAAAGACATAATACCCTGACCACCTTGTGGTGTAGGGTATAAAAAGTGTAATGTAGTAGAAAGAATTTCCGAAAACCCAGTCATATCCTTCTTGACCAAGATTGACCCTCATCCAAAATTTCAATTTCGTCTGGGCGTTGATGCATCGTTAAGTCAGTCAAACAGTCCGTCAATTACTTTACTTTTTTATTTATATAGATATTTGCTCTTATACCATTTCCAACCACAACCACCCCTTCCATTTGACATTAATTGAAATAATTAATTAGATATTATAAACATATCGAAAAAGAACCCTCAGTCCGGTCTGTCTCTATAACGTCGTGGTAGTATTGAATGTTTGCCAAAAATCATGTCAACATTTGTCTAAGCCTTCTTTTTTTTTTGGTTTAATTTAGTTGTAGACACGATTGCTTTTTTTGTTATTTTTGTTGCCTAAATACAAAATTTAACCCTCCAAAGTGACCAGACCTGTCAATCAAATCATTCCGTCAGTCAGCGATGAAATGAATGTTCATCGGTTCGACTCTCGGTATGTCCGTCAGTCTGTTGAAAGCACAAATTAGCGTTGTTCATTATTTGTCAAA